TTATTATTATTATTATTATTGTTATTGTTATTACTATTATCATCACTATCAACAGTCTTATTATTATTATTATCATTACTATTGTTATTATTGTATAATAATTATTATATTATTGTATAATTATTATTATTATGATTATTATAATTATTATTATGATTATCACTATTATTATGAATTAGTCTTGGATTTCATCTAATCTTTAAATAAACAATAAAGTATTGAATTTCAAGTGATAGATAAAGGCAAATAGATACACACAATGAAAAAAAGAAATAAACAACATTGTCTTTAAACGGAAGTGCTCAGTCGAGTCATATTGTCATAAGCCAATATCATCCTTGGAAATAGCAAGGGAGAAGGACGTATAAAAATATATACAGAGCTGAATCTGTTGCCTCACAAATGACGATGATGATATTGTTATGAACGTCATCGTGATTTTTTTTCATAATCGATTGTTGCTCTTAATGACATCATTGATAACAAGAGGAGTAGGAGAATCCTAACACACATTGGGGCGCACACAGACACTATCTCCTTTTGTTCCTTTGTTTCTCATCCTCTCTCCGTCTTCCTTTGCCTCTCGCTCTCTCTTTGTTCCTTCCTATCTCATCCTGACTCTTTTCTTCGTTTTCCTTTGTCTCTCTCTCTCTTTGTTCCTTCCTTCTCTCTGTCTCTCTCTTCTTCTCTCTCTCTTCTCTCTCTCTCTCTCTCTCTCTCTCTCTCTCTCTCTCTCTCTCTCTCTCCTCTCTCTCTCTCTCTCTCTCTCTCTCTCTCTCTCTCTCTCTCTCTCTCTCTCTCTCTCTCTCTCTCTCCTCTCTCTCCTCTCTCTCTCTCCTCTCTCTCTCTCTCTCTCTCTCTCTCTCTCCTCCCTCCCCTCCCTTCCTCCCTCCCCCTCTCCCCCTCTCTCCTCCCCTCCTCTCCTCCTCTCCCTCTCTCTCTAACACACACACGCAAAAACACAAACACAAACATTCTATTATTATCCTCATTGCAAACACATTTCTCCTTGTCTGCGATCGTTGACATTGTTGCAAGGGTCATCATCACAGCGAGAGCATGCTGTGTCCCTGACTATTATTTTGCAACTGATAAGCTTCTCTCTAGTTGCCTGTGTGCTTGCTTTTGTGTTTGTTTGTTTGTTTGTTTGTTCTTCTCCATAAACCAACGTAATTGTAATGATGATGATTCGATTTTTTGTTGTTTATTTTGTCAACTTATTTTCTCATAATTAATTGCGATATTGATGATAATGATAGTGATAATAATAATAATAATGATGATAACAATAATGATAATAATAATGATAATAATAGTAATAATGATAATAATAATAATAATTATAATAAGAATAAGAATAAGAATAAGAATAATGATGATGATAATGATAATAATAATGATAATAATAATAATGATAGTAATAATGATGATAACAATAATAACAATAATAATCATAATGATAATGAAAATGATAATAATAGCAACAATGATAATGATATTAGTATTATGATCATCATTATCATTACTCTGTGTTTAATTCTTTTACATCTTGTTATTCATTTTTTTTTCTTTTAAAGTTCCAGTTATTCTTTTGTCGCTCATTACCTTTCATTTCCCCCGTTTTCACGTGTTATTGTTTTTCTTTTGTTTTTCGTCTCTTTCATTCATCAGTTTTTTTTTTAATATCTTCCTATTATCATTATTCTCTAAACCTTTCCTTGTTATTCATCAGTATCTATCTTCCTATTTATTTTTATGTTATTTTTACTTATCACCTTCCGTGTCTCCTCGTGTAATTCATTTGTCTTTCTGCTGTTCGTCTCTTTTTGTTTCTCAAACTCTAATTCTCTTTCTAATATCATCCAGTTTTCAAGTTTCTCCCTATATGTAATTCAATTTTTTTCTGCCTTCCTGTCTCCTGTTATTTATGTTTTTTTTCAAAATCTTATGTTATTGTTCAATTTCTAAATCTCTTCTTGTTATTCATTAGTTTCTGTCTCTTCCTGCCATTTTTTTTCCCTATTACTATCTATTTTCAAAATAACTTCCTATTAGTTATTTAGTAGTTCCAATTATTTTTATCTATTTTTCAACCGTTCGTCTCTCTCCTCAAATTCATCCCTTTCCGAATCTCTTCCAGTTATTATTCCGTTTTCTGTGTCTCTTCCCGTTTTCTAGACCCCGCGAAGGTTAAATCCCGCCGCCATTTAACGGACACAAACACATGCCACCCGAACCGTCTGACCTTATCGCCTAGAGGTCACTTATCTGAGCTCGACCCCGCCCGCGAGGCACAAGATAGGCACTTCCGGTTTGATAGTCGGTGAAAATAGTCAGCTCTCAAGGTCATCCGAGCTTCTGAAAGTCATCCTCGTGGGCGGTAAATTGATGACTGGCAGACTAGAAGTAGCAACTTTGCCTGCAAGCGGAGATAGGCAAGGCGAGACAGGCAGACGAGAGTGTTATAATGCTTTACATATGCTTGTGTGTCTGCTCGCTTTTGCTTATTTTTAGAATTGGCCCTGTAGGTTTGTGTGTGTGCGATGATACAAATAGATATAAATAGATAAATAAGGAAGTAGAAAAAATAAAGAAATAGATAAATGAATAAATGGGTAAATAGATATAACGAAATGAATGAATATATAAATAAATAGAGAAGATATATGTATATGTGAGTGTTTCAATGCATATATTAGCACGTCTTTTTAGGCTCTATATCAGAGCTGCTGAACACGTGTAATGCGGAGCCAAAAGTGCATTCTTCGAGGCTAGAATTAGCGTGTGGTTCTGACCCAGAGTTGTTTCTCCCCCCCCCCCCCCTTGTCAAGACCTCGAGGTAAAAATGGCCTGCAAGGTTGATAACCATATGTTTGATTGTGAAAGACCCCATTGACTTACCCCTTTGACAATATTCGTAAATTTACGAGCTGAAAAATATTCCCAAATCATACATTTCTACAGTAAACAGTTTACACAGAATACATTTATTGCACAGGTCACTCGAATAACTATTCCCTATTAACAGTGTTACTACAATGGCAACGAATGCGAAGCAGACTGAACACTTAAAATCTCCAAGTCATCCGATTACTCTGATACATCTGTTAATTATTACAATCTTAGAATTTGCTTCCACAAGACAAAGAAAGTCTACAAAATATTGAAAAAAACATTGATTCTCAAGACCTCTTTTCCGTTGCCAAAAGTCGAAAAATATGATAAACAAGTATCACTGTTTCCACTGGCCTAGCACATACTAATTTTGCAGCTCGCCGTTTCAAGACAAATGAAATGGTGTAGACAATACAAGTGGAAGTACATCAAGAGACATAAAAAACATTAGAAAAGAAGACAAATTTAAAACCAAGAAAAACAAAGAGAAAAGAAAAACGAGGGAGACAGAAGGACAGGAAGGATATGGGGCAGGAGGAAAACGAAATGGAAAACACACACTCAGGAAGGAAGGAGGGTAGCTAAAGCAGGAAACAAAGGAGTAGAAGAGCAGAAAGGAAACCAGACACAAGAGGAAACTTGAGAAGGAAACAAATGGACAGGAAGGAAATGAGAGACAAACACATTAAGAAAATGAAGAAAACAATTGAAACGGACGCTAACGAGAGAAACAGAAGAACATAGTAAATCGACAGATGAGAAAATGAGAGAGAATATCGAAGAAAAAGTCAGAAAAAACAACAACATAAAAGTGCGCAAAATTTCAGCCATTTAACCTCCCGTCTAAAAGGCAACAGAAAACGGAAGAAGACCGCCAGGAAGTCATCAGTAGCGCCGTCAACAACTTCCCGGGGTTAAAGTACGTATGTGCAGGATGACCTTGGTATTATACTGTCCCTGGCCCTGAGTGACCCTCTAGATTTGCACAGTGAAAAGGAAGGGGCGCCATACACTTAACAAGTTGTAAAAGGCTTCACTCTATTGACATGAGGTTATATATGCCTAACCCATGGGAAATACAGTTTATTTTATTATTACTTCATATTGAGAATTATGCCCCTCCGCATCATACGTAACTGACATTATTCAAACTGTTTTTGTAAAGAAATTCCCATAAAATCGTGTACTATACGAAGGGATATAAGTAAAGCATGATACCCTATAAATTGTCTCAAAAAAAAAAAAAAAAAAAAAAAAAAAAAAAAAAAAAAAAAAACAATGATATTTTTCCCCCATTACATTTTCTATTCATTTTTTAAACTAGATTTATGGATACGAAAAAAAAGTCCCCCCGTTGTGACAAATATAATTCAACTCCTATTTACCTACCTAAAACCTAAGTGAATGAAAAGGAACATCGCAAATAAAGAAAAAAGACATTATCTGAACAGGAAGTGTGACCTAACAGTAGATAGCCACGTCAGACGCTCTCCCTGTATGGAACTGCGTCGATCACTGACACAGTGAACTGGTCCTGGCCGTGTTATCCCACTCAGTTAGTGGTATCTACTTAAAACATTAAGTTGATGTCACTAATTAATGTCTGGTTATGTGTCAGATCTCTAATCATTGTAGTTCGTTCATTGTTTGTTATTTGTTGATATAGATAGATTAGGGGTATTATATTGAAAGTTTTTGTTTTCTAGATTGATTTAGCTAAAGATTAACGATTTTTTTCTGAGCTTAATAAAAATAAATGTATAAAGAAAAAAATTTAACCGATCTTATAAATCTTATACTATATGTGACCTGAGTGAAAATGCCACTGTTGGTTTTGAACTTTTTGTTTTGTTTTGATGAGGAGAAAAGTAAAGAATAACAAACATAAAAAAAAAAAATCACGAATGACATCAGTCCCAGAAACGAGGATGAAGCCGGCACCAATAGAGATTAAATGACTTGTTGATCAGAGAATATGTCAATCTCACTCCATTATATAATCGACAGTGCTGTCAAGTCAACTGTAGGTAAGAAATACTTGAGCTAGACGATAATTCCACCGTTTAAAATCCTGTCAGCAGTCAAGAGCTTTAAGTATAGAAGAGATAACCGGAGGATATTGTCTGGGTCATGTAATTAATAATTTTGAGTCAGAGTCTGCATTTTGTTGTTCTTTCTAAATCTGGGATGTTATATCAGTTGAAGATTGTTATCTGATACACTGTATATATGGTCTGAAAATAGTTTTCGATGCTCACGCCCTCATATTCTCATTCTTGGATTGCCATGTAAAAATCTTGATAAAATAAATAAATAAACATTCAGAGATCCTATTTCTATGTATTATCCTTGACATTAGACATCAGCTATCCTTCGGGGCCATCCATCTCCCTATTCAGTGACATCCCTTAAGGAGGCTCTTTGTCCCTTGCCCTTTTCACTCTATTCGCTTTTGAAAGCTGCCATCTTTTCCCAGACCCACACATCATGTGTGTAGATGATATGATGCAAATAATTCATGATCCAAAAGTTTAATTTTAGATAGGCCAGTAATACCATAAAGAAACTTTTAAAATATTATATATGTAATCTAATATTATATTTTTCTTATATAGAGATAATATAGAAACATAAATTGACAGGTATACATATATACTATGTTAATGTTTATATATACATGTGTGAAATAAATATATAGATAACAAATATAGATGGAATACAGATAGAAACATAATTGACAGGTATACATAATACTATGTTAATGTTTATATATATATATATATATTATATACTATATATAGTATATATATACTATTATTATATATATAATATATATATATGCAAACAAAAATTTGGGGATATTTGTTAGTGACAAAGTATAAAAAGCGTTTTTTTCTGAGAAGTGTTCAGCCGAAAGCAATTGCCACGTAACCCCGTCAGAGAATCCTCCTGCTTTATCACTGTTGACGCAAACCTTAACCATGTGCTTTTAATGGTGCTGTCACGTTGAACATGCAGTATATAAACTGGTATCAGAAATACTGGTTAGGTAGGTTAAAATCGGTTTCAGTGGGTTTTTTTTTTTAAGAATAATATACTGATAATTAAGATAGATTGGTGATACTAAAAACGCAAAAGCAGCATTGCCCTTATAGCAGTCATATGACAACAGATGTAGACGCTAATCTAGTGAGAAATTTTGAATTGGGGTTTGATTATGCAAGCACATGCACAGTGACACAAGCGAGAATGCAAGCATGTTATGATAGTACTGTAAACCGTACGTCATATTAGCGGCACTAAATTAACCGGTGATACCACACTTACTTATCCCCCTACCAAATTGTTTGTGCAGTAGAATGCAGAAAGACCTGTAATTATCTGTATTGCATAACAATATTTATGCTATCTATCCCTTGTATCTATTAAGGTATATCTCAGTATATATATTATCAATCTAATCTATCTGTATTATATAATCAATTAATCTATCTCTCTGTATATATATCTTGTTAATATCTATTCTCTGTTATATTAATTAATCCACATAATCTATCTCTATGTAATATATTATATATTTATATATATATTTATAAATTATATTTAATATATTAATTTGTCTCTCTGTAAATAATAATGTATATCTATTATATCTATCGCTATACATAAGTATTATTCTAATTCTCTCTGTATATATATCTTAATTTTACTAATAAACCTATCTCTGGCTAGCCTATTCTACCTATCAGCCAGTCTATTAAATACCTAATCTATATTTAGGGTTACCATACAGGTAGGACACAAAAAATTTACCAGAAACTATTTTCCTCTCTGAAGGAAACTACAAAAAAAACAACGGAAATAACGATAAATTTCCAGAAAACCGATCCGATTCTAACGCTTTGGTGACGTTCGAATCGATGGGAATACGACTTTTCGATTCATGATATAACACTGAGTTTGGTTTCCTTTTCAAGAACGAACATTTTCATATGGTGATTTCTAAAATCAAATTTCAATATTATTTAATTTTCAAATGAAAGCGACGTAACTAAATGCGTTCATGTCATAAAAAACAGAGTTGCGTCACTTGAAGTGTGGGTGCTTTATGATTGCGACGGAAGGACAAGTAACCTTTCGACCTCAAGTCACAGACTACACGACTATACTCTACACAACACTGCGTCTCTCAAGTATAACTGGTCCTCTCGATTTGTCCATCCAACCGAGACTTATCTTCGTTCCTCGTGTTTTTCTCTCTCTCTCTCTCATTTCTCTCTGCTCTCTCTCTCCTCTCCGTCTCTCTCTCTCTCTCTCTCTCTCTCTCTCTCATCTCCCCTCATACCTTTGAAGATGTTTTTTTGTTCCTAATAAAACCGGTAGGAATATGCTCTCAAGAACCCGACCGCCGGTGGTCGCGCCGGTCCGGTCAAAGTAGCGGAAGAAAAGTCTCTCGTCTCTCCTCTTCATTCTCTGCTCTCTCTTCCTTCTCCTCGTATCTCTCTTCGTCGCCCTCTCCCACTCCTTACAATCCTCACTGGCTGCTCATCTTCCTCTGTCCTTACCTCCGTCTCTCGTCTCCTTCTCTCTCACCTCTCTCTTACG